CTTTCCTGCCTTAGGTTCCCGGGGAAGGGACCTTGTATGTTGTGTGTTGCATGGGGTTATGTTTAAAAGCTGTGTGTGCAGTGGCGTACACATGACCCATGGGGCCCCGGTGCAAAAATTGATCCGTGGGCCCCCACCCCCCCGCGCTTACTCGGCGCGGGTCGGGGTCGCAACACATGGTGGCGGGCACCTGGTCGCAGGGGTTGCTGGGCTCCGACCCCGCGACCGCGGTAAGCACACACACTTAAAGGACCACTACAGACACCCAGATCACATCAGCTCAATGAAGTGGTCTGGGTGCCAGGTCCCTCTAGTTTTAACCCTGCAGCTGAAAACATAGCAGTGAAAACGGCTATGTTTCACTGAGGGTTAATCCAGCCTCTGGTGGCTGTCTCATTGACAGCTGCTAGAGGAGCTTCCGCGATTTTCACTGTGAAAATCACAGTGAGAAGACACTGAACGTCCATAGGAAAGCATTGCGTAATGCTTTCCTATGGGCGGTTTAAATGCGCGCGCGCGCCTCTTGCCACGCATTTGCATTCGGAGCTGAGAGGCGGACACTGGGGAGTCCGACGCTGGAGAAAGGTAAATGCTGAAGAGACACACACACAAACTATCACGAACAGACGCATACACACTAGCTAACAGACACACACATTTACTGACAGAGACACACTCAGCGACAGACATACATACACACTCACTTACAAAACATACACTTTCACTGACAAACACACACTCAGTAACAGACACACACAGTAACACACTCACTAGCAGACACACACCCAATAACAGACACATTCACTGACACACACTAACACACGCACTAACACAAACAAACACTGACACACTAACACACACACATACACTAACACACACACACACTAACACACATACACACACTAACACACACACACACACTAACACACACATACACTAACACACACACACACTAACACACACACACACACTAACACTAACACACATATACTAACACACACACACACTAACACACACACACACACTAACACTAACACACTAACACACATACACTAACACACACACACTAACACACACACACACACACATACACTAACACACATACACTAACACACACACATACACTAACACACACACACTAACACACACACACTAACACACACACATTTTTTTTTCAAATGTAATCCCCCCAGCCTCCTTACCTTTTGGAGTGCTGGGGGGAATCCCTGGGGTCCAGTGGTGGTGCTGCTGGGCTGCTGGGCTGCTGGGCTCCTGGTCACTGGGTGGGCGGGCTGTCTGGGCGGCGGGCGCGCGAGGGAGCACTTTCCCCCATGTGCTTCCTCTTCAGCTCCCTCGCGCACCGCGTAGGGATGCCGGCGCCGGAAGATGACGTCATCTTCCGGCTCCGGCATCAGTGCGGTGCGCGAGGGAGCTGAAGAGGACTGCGTGCTTCCTCGCGCGCCCGCCTGCCCGACCGGCCACCTGTCCGCTGGTGTCAGCAGGGCCAGCCTCGGGGGGCCCTGGGGTGGTCGGCTCCTGGGCCCCCCAGGGGAAGAGGCTGGCCCTGTGGCTACATACAGGGTCGCAGGGGCGGCCGGGCCCCCTGGTGGGCCGGGCCCGGTCGCAGCCGCGACCCCTGCGACCCTGGTATGTACGCCACTGTGTGTGTGGCCAATAAAGTGTCTGTTGTACCTCCAGAACTGTGTGTTGTCCAGTTACTGGGGGGGGGGGATGGGTCTCTTTATATCTTAAATGGTTACTGTTCAGCTGAAGGAAGAGAAATAGCAGAGGTAACTGGTCGGGTTACCAGGTGATCCGCTACAGGTTATCTTTGCATTTTGTTTTTGGCTGGCAGATAAAGCGATGAGGTAAGTATTTACAGCGTTAATTACTAAGAAACAACCTGAATGTTCCCAATCTAGATCAGCTAATCCGCTAGTACCGCTAATCCGTATTTTAAAAAGCCAGACTATTTGTCCACTGGTCATGCCAGTAACCAGCAGGCAAATATTTAAAAGCCCGTCGGCATTGCAATCATTAACTGTGTGGAGGTTCCCTTATGGCCTTGGTTTAATATTTTTGGATAGAGTTTTAAAATATATCATATATGTAAAAATATCAATACATATAAGATAATCAAAATATAAAAAAAAAATAATAATAATAAATAATTTAAACGTTTTATCCAAAAATAATAAATCATTTCAAAAGCATAGCTTAAAAAATCTAAATTGAGGCCTTCGTCGGTTATTATAGATTTTTATTTGACATTTTGACTCCCAAATGTACTTTTTTTAATTTATAATTTCTATAGTGGTCGCTGACCTAGTTAATTCTTACAATGCCAAAGGATTATTAACTATTTTCCTAATGGCGTCTAGTGCCGAGTCTGGGTTTCAATAAATTCATTGCTAAATAGGCAGGATCCCCATTCGGTGTTTGGTAAAAATGCAAATCCTATATTTTACATCCAGAAACTACGGAGTTTAAAACAGACACTGAACAAATCTAGCCGAATGGTGCAAAATGGTGTTCATTCAGTCGGAATAACCACATCTATCCCTGAGTTGACTTTAATAAATATAATAAAAGCAAATCTGGTCGTAATCTGATTATTTTCACTACATGTTATCCATCTGGACAATATTTGGTGGCTTGCGAATAACCCTTTGTGTTTGTTAAGTAACAGATTTGCTTTGCAATGTATTTAAACCCTTTTTGGCATTAGGAGAGTTAAATGAATCCTCACTAAAAAGCTGCCGTTATAGTTTCCCCATTAGAAAGCTGTCTGTTTCTGTGCCCCAGATGGGACTGCTGAATATTTACACAACTTTACCGTAGGACTATTCCATCATCCCATCAAAGACCGCTGTCTGTTAACATCTTCCATGATAGAAAGGTGACAGCCTTTGGTGACGTTCACAGAAATATATATATATATATACACACACGCTGTTAGCTGTCATTTGTCACCTTCTCGTTATTGTATTTTTTATCCTCCCAATGAGTTTAGATTTAGCATTTTCTTGAAGGAGTCGTTGGTTCTCCAGCTGTCAGGACAATCCTTTCTTCATCTTCAATGCCTTTCAACCATTGTCAAGCAACTCTGAATATTTCACCTATTAACGTGACTATTTATGTGACTTTTCTCACACACTTATACAGACATTTCCAACATACATCATCTGAGTCAGTAACAGGGACTTACCTGTTCAATGAGGTGAATCTGCAATGAGCCTATGTTGGATCTGTTTGTGTGTAACTGTAGAGGTGTCCAGAGACGAATATACATCTCAGGTGCCAGTGGGCAGAGAAAGCCCTCTTAAAAAGAGTGAAAAAAAATTATTACTTCATGAAAGCCACTGACAGAGGGCTACTGGCACAGAGGAATGGCTACTGGCTGGCTGTCATAATTCACTTGCGTCAGTGGTAGGGTGGCATCCAATTTCTAACCCACGTATGCATAGATATGTGCAAGTGCCAGAGAGGTGTCAGTAGTCCAACACACACACACACACATAGAGATGCTCTAGTCTTGGGTACCTCCTTGAAAAGGCTGGGATTGCTGGATACATCTCCTCAATGGACTCATTCTAAGAGGCCTACTTGCCTGGCAATGGTCCTCCATCCCAACACAAATAGAGGTGGAACAGATGTGTAGCTATGAATAGGCAGGAACATGAGAAGGAGAGAGTTCCTGGTGTGGTTAGCTGTGTGATAATCCCCTAGAGAGTACTTAACTTCAATAGAGAGGAGAGAATAAGATCTACCAGCAGGAGGTCGGGGTAGATCCACCAGCATCCGCCCCCCATTGGCCGTTTACTAAATCTAGACCAAAGACAATCATATATATAATTGATCATAGAGCCCCTCTATGGATGCCTATTAAACAATATACCTTTTCTGGCCCTGGCGATGACTGTGGCAAGGAAATAATGCAGTAGGTTTATTGCCATTGTGTGCAGTAATTGTGTCATCTTACTGTTTATGTGGTTCTGTAATCTGGGGAACACTTTTTAGGGCCACACTGCAGGAAGTAAAACAACGCTCAATTCAAGTGCCACGATTTAATTAAATTCTGTATGTACATATCTACGTATTTAAATATGTAAAACGTCTATCAGGTCTGTATCTGTAATAGAATGACAGGCATGGCTCCTTCTTCTCTGCAGACAGGTAACACCAACAAGTAGCAAAATGTGATTAAAAGTGCACCATAACACCTCTGTGGAGCTTGACCAAATATTTAAAGGGACATTAAACTGCATGGCAAACAAGAAAAGCATTAAGTGGGCAAGCACTGGACGTTCTAGGCCAGGAAACACTGAATATAGGGACCCTCTACACCCAAAAAGGGTCTAAAACAATAGCACAAAAACCAGCTTGTGCCAATTAAAAACAAATTGGTAAAACAAAATATTAGATAAATGGAGAGTAAAAAACAGACGAGTTGTAAAATATAGTCCAAATTAATGGCCTGAGTTCTTTTGTAGTCTACTCTGTCCTCATTGATTGTATATGTGAATAGAAGAAAGAGAGAAATACTGGGTTAGTGACACTCAACAAAGTGCATAAATGCTCACTCACATGTTACAGAGCTGTCAGACAAACTTCAGTAATATCGGCGTGTAATGGGGTTATCCCTTGTGGATATGGGTGTAGGCAGAATAACTCTTGTAGATCTTGCAGAACATGAAATGACAGAGCAAAATCAGGCACAAAATTATAACTACAGGGTACATAAAGTGCCAGATAATAAAAAATGTACACTCACACGTGTAGAACTTAATGCTAAAGCTCAACATTTCAGGTATAAAGTGGTATAATCCCAACCATGGGATAGAATTCAGACACTTGTCTTCCAGCGGTGTTTACAGATATAGGAAAAAGGAAACAATATAAAGTGTTCTCTGTGTTATATGTGGATACAATTAAACATGTATTCAATTTCTAGAGCAATGGATTTGCTCAGATTATTTGGCGTGGGTGGAACAATCCGCAGCGAGGATCTAAAGGTTGGATTCCAGGAAGGGTTGCTTCAAGTAGTGCTGGGAACAATAGTTAAAAATATATAATAAAACAAAATAAAAATAAGAATAAAGTCTTATGTATGTGCCTTTTATTCTCTTTTATTCAGTAATTTGCTTTCCCAGTTTGTTTTTAATTAGCACAACACGTTTTTGTACCATTCATATGTAACATTCCACTGCATGCGTTTTTTTTTTTTAATTTGGGGTGTATCAAAACAGCTTGCCAAAGCTGCAGATCTCTTGTCTTCAGCATTTGTAAGCCCTCCCTTTCTTCACCAGTTCAGACTTTCTGTAGTTGTCCTATCACAGACTTTCCAAAGCAGCCTACCAACCTCTAGAGTTTATCTCCACTGAGCTAAATAGCCAGGAAGTAATGGGACCGGGTGTCTGATTGACAGCTAAGGGAGAACACGTTTAGAAAAGTGACCATTTCTATGGAAATCGGAACTTTTTGTAAAATGAAAATAGAGAACACACTTTTCACACAAACACTTCAGCCAGCTTGCTGTGGTAGTGCTATAATGTTCCATTACCATCTTTTTTAACACTGATTTTTAATTGATATTTAGCTGAAACAATGAAGCTGTGTGTTTTTCTCACGTTGTTTTATTTATAATAAAGGCGTCTTACTTTCCCAAAAAGGAACTTTCTCTGCATTCATCTTGCAACGTAAATGTTTTTAATTCCAGCTTTATGCCAGAGAGATGATGTAACCTGTGTGAGAAGCTGAGATGATAATTACACGTATCTGCTGAATGCAATACC